CCGATGTGGGATTGGGTTTGCACCCCAACAATCCTCCCTATCTTCTTCGACACATTTAGGAATCCCACCATCCAACAAAACCATCGTTGTTTCTACTTCAAGAACAACATCAAAACCTCCTATATGGATTGAGATTTGTCCAAGATATCTGTTAGGATCGCTACTAGCCCAACCATGCTCAACCTACAAGAACAATGATGTTCCATTTTGTAAAACCAATTGGAGATAGAAGGGATTACCCATTGCCTTATATGCAAGCATCTAGTTTTTCTTTTTTCCGATGTGGGATTGGGTTTGCACCCCAACAATCCTCCCCTGAAACCCAAGTTCTGCCATTGGCCTCCCCTTCAACGATTGTTCACCAGATCCAATCCTTTTCCATACCGCCGATATTCTCAGGACACGCTCACCTGACTTGGGACATCTTCTTCGACACATTTAGGGATCCAACCATCCAACAAAACCACAGTTGTTTCCACTTCGAGAAAAACACCAAAACCTCCTCTCTGGATTGAGATTTGTCCAAGATATTTGTTAGGATCGCTACTAGCCCAACCATGCTCGACATACAAGAACAATGAGGTTCCATTTTCTAAAACCAATTGGTGATAGAAGGGATTACCCATTGCCTTATATACTAGCATCTAGTTTTTCTTTTTGCCGATGTGGGATTGGGTTTGCACCCCAACAATCCTGCCCTCAAACCCAAGTTCAGCCCTTGGCCTCCCCTTCAATGACTTTTCACCAGATCCCATCCTTTTCCATATCGTCGATACTCTCGGGACACGCTCACCTGACATGGGCCATCAGGAAGACTTTTAATACAAGGCTTCAGGATCAACTTCGTTGGACCGAGAATTATTGGAGATTGCGCTACATACGACGACCACATCATCCAGGCTACGATCGTAGCTCTGATACCACTTGTTATGATCACTACTAGCCGAACCATGCTCAACATACAAGAACAATGAGTTTCCATTTTCTAAAACCAATTGGTGATAGAAGGGATTACCTATTTCCTTATATGCTAGCATCTAGATTTTCTTTTTGCCGATGTGGGATTGGGTTTGCACCCCAACAATATCACTATTACTCCTTAAGCTCCTACTTGGATTAAGATTTGTCCAATAGGTCACTATTACTATTTGGGATATCATATGCACAAATCACTATTTTTATAATAGCTCCGTGAAGCATTTTTAGAGGAATGAGAAGGAAGAAAGAGGTGAAAAAGGTAGCAAGGAAACTTCACCAAGCCTTTCAATTATACCTAAGATGACACCAAATGGGAATGACTGTTTTGCCCTCACGTGAGGGCCACATGCCTCTCATTAACGGTGGAAATAAATGGGAGTTAGGTTGAAGGACGTACATAGCAACGAACACAAACTATATGAACCGACCGTGTTACAAAATCAATAGTAAGACTAATAATGTGAATTGGGGTAAAACATACAGACCAAATGTGTTGTTTACTCTATTTTTTATTATACAGTTATAATCGTCGAACATTAAATTCCTGTGAACAGCTACAAAACATGTAATCAACAAGAAATTAAAACACGTATACAAACCCCATAACTTTGCATTCTTTAGGCTGGACGGAGCGGGTGCGGGGAGGGAGGGCGGGACTCTTCCCGCTCACCAGAACATCGTACTGCCGGTGAGGGAAAGGGTGTGCGGGAAGGAGGTGGGGGGAGGGGCTGCCGCAGTCTCTCTCTTCCTCCTATTGGTTGGAATCCGGTTTTTTTTTGTGACTTAACCGTTTTTTAATGGTAGGAAATTAAAAGAATATGTGGTTGTTATGTACCTAAGCTTATATATAGAACCCTCCAAACTATGTAGTTTTGATCTATACATACAAAACTAATCATGATATCTCACTTACTATTCTTCCTTAATCACGTGACTTGTTATATTACCAATCAAATTTATGTTTTTTTCTTCATTGTGTCTAAGAACTTAAAGCATTGAAAATCATATCCATTTAATCAACCCTACTAAATTTTAAATGAAAACTAACAGAATAAAAGATAAAATAAGAACATAAAAGATAAAATAAGAACATAAAAGATAAAAGAAGAACATGCAATAACTCAATCAATGTTTTCACTAATCATTGGATATAGTTTTTCAATTAAAGCACAAAATGTTTGAGTTATATATATTAAAAAAATATTGGTTTTTTACTTTTCCTATAAACTTCAATGATTTTTTTGCAAAAAAAGATGTATATTCGATCTTTTTCATTCCATAATTTAACTCAATTCAATAGAATTATATTAAAACAAAATTAAGAGAAAATGAAACTGGATTTGTTTTGTTTAAAACTACGTCGTTTAAAAGGTTTTATACCAAAGCTTAGGTACATAATAGCCACATATTCACTTCCCTATATATATATATATATATATATATATATATATATATATATATATATATATATATATATATATATATATATATATTCTTTTTTTGCTTTCAATGGCTATATGCTAAAAAAAATTAACATCTACAACATCTATAAATATCCATACCTTTTAACCTTCAAACACACACCTTCTTCTATCAATTTCTCTCTACTTTCTTCAAAAAAATGAATCCCGACAATCAAACCCCAATCTCCGATAGAAGAAAAAAAAACCAATGTTTCGAGTTCAAGCACCCCAAGTCGAAACATTTTCACTTTCGATTCATGACAAGGGGTCATCGTCCCCAACTCGATGCTCCTATTCAATCTCCACTACAATTCAAATACCAAAATGTTAGACCATATTACCTTATCCAAGTTTCAAATGTAACTCCTAACATGTTTTCAAACTTTGTTGTTTTTCCCGATCAACATTCGCCTAATCAACCACAAACTCAAATCCTACTCTTTCAATCTCAAACCCAAACCCAAACCCAAACCCAACCCCAATCCCAAACACAACCCTCTCGATCTCAACCACAATACGAAAACATTGATGAGTTGGATGAAGAGATTGTACGGGAAACTCAACTCACACCACCCCCAACGCCGCAAAGGAAAAAAAGTACAGGAGGGTGTTGCACAACCGGGAAGATAGAGATCGATACCATTGCTTCCACAAGAAGAGCTAATTGTGGTAAAAGCTTGGGTTTTACATTTCAGAGGATTCGACAACAGGAAATGCACAATCGCCGGATTATTTTTGGTTTCGCATTCTAGAGAGGTTTCGGGCGGAGATGGGAAAAGGTGACGAGTACCTTACCAATCATCAATTGAATTCAAAGTTTCGAGATATAGCGAAGGTCGTTTCAAAAATGAACGGGCTGTACAACAACCTAAAAACCCAACGGAGAAGCGGCCAAGGAGATGAAGAAATACTTCAAGAAGCTTTCCCTTTTTTTCTAGAGGAAACGGGAAAGCCATTCAAGTGGCACAGTCGATGGAAAGTATTGATTAAAAGTTCTAGGTGGAAAAAATACGAGCAAGAGTTTATATTTGGAGTACAACAATCAAAGCGAACGAAAACAAGCTCTAGTGGTTACACAACTTTCTCTGATGCTTGGGTCGGTCTAGATTTAAATGAGGAGGACGAACTCGAGCTAGAAGAAATTGTCCGACCGATGGGTAGGAACAAAGAAAAAAGGAAGGAAAATGGGACTTTTTCGGGTGCATCGGATTTCAGCATGGACACGGACGAGATGCAGAAATTATCGGAGACTTTTGATCGATATAATCTTAATTTCGCTGAAAGTTTGGTGTTCTACAAAGAAAAGGAAGTAGAAAAAAAGGAGCGTGTGGAGAAACAAGAAATGGATGATATGAGGTTTTTGATGGAAAACACCAATCATCTTTCGTGATCGGCTTTCGATCTCGTTTTGAAGAAGGAGAAGATTATGAAAAAATATTTTTCGTAAATCTATGTTTTTTTTACAATGTAGTTAGTTTGTTTTTTTTTAGTTATTTAAATCTTAGTTTTTTTATGTGATTTTTATTTTAATTAATAAAGTGGTTTTTATTTTTAATTAATTTTTATGTTTGTTATTCATTTAAAAAAATTATAAATCATTAAAATCAATTATTTTAATAAAAAAAACGTGAAAGAACGCTTTCCGCACACACCCTCACTTTTGATGTGGGAAAGGAAACTTTAGAAAGTCAAGGAAAAGATGACGGGGCGGAAAAAAAATGAAGCGAGTTTCTTACACCCTACAAGTTGTCAATGCATAATGCTACTTGGATCAGATGACGTGTCCTGTACAAGTGACAATGCATAACTAAAGCAATTTGAGATCAAGATTCTATAACCTACAACATACTAACTCATAAAGAAAGCTATTTGGAATATCACACCTTTTCGAAACTGATCTCGAATTGCTTTTTAAAGAAAAGGCCGAACAAATATTCCATAGCTAAAAAGCTTTCTGTTTCTCCTATGGTGATTCGGTGGGACCCACACATGTCAAATTAGCTGGCTAGTTGCAGAATCCCAGTTCCACAGGCTGGAAGAGATCATTCCAATCCACTTGCCTCTTTTTTGAATGGTCCATTATTTTAGCAACATAACAAATCTTGACAAATGTACTTGTTTTAATGCATGTTGTACATGTTACTATAACATAAACCCTAAGACTTGGTCATGTAATACTTTCTATGCAAAATGTACCCCTCATAAATGTACCATTTCAAATGCTTAATTTACAAGCTAATGTAATTTTCAACGGTTTATTTAAATTTGTTGGTTGTATTAAAATTTTCTAGCTGATTTTAACTTGTCAATATGTTTAAATATAGTAAGTATTTTTATTTTATACATTAAATTAGCACAAATATCTAACATTTAAGTTGAACCCAAACCAAATACATCGGAATCCATATTAACATTAAAATTCTCATACTTATTTGATAAGATTAAGAACTGGGAAATGTAAAAGCGACATGGTCTATTATACATTTTAAGCAACAAACAAATCGTAGTGCATGCTTCTGCATAAGGTACAACTATCTAATGCATCATTTGAGCACTACCATTGCAAACAATAATAACAAGTTAACAACATGCTTTTCAATTTCAATCTTACCCATAAAAAATGAAAAAATATCACGAAATATATCTGTGTATCGGATTCATCGGCAATCCATCGAGTCAAATGAGTCAGCAAATCCCGAAGGCTTAGAGGGAATACTCGATTGTGTTTGACTAAAAGACATATCAAATGTTCTAGAAGTACCCTCATCGGCTTGCCATCTTTGAAGGGCTTGAGGAAGGCTCATATGGAGGTCGATTCCATAGCCATCCTCTTCCTCTGGTCGAGAAGGCTTCCACTGCTCGACCAGAGGACCCAACACGTTCACTGCGTGACCCATGTCAGGTCTCTGAAAAGGCTCGCGGGCCGTACAGTGGCCCGCGAGCTCTGCTACTTTTGAAATGCTATCCAATGTTTCTTCGTCTTCGGTTTCTAGGGTTTGGTCAATGGCTTTTAGCATGTTTTCTTTTGAGATGAGGACTCTTCGGAACCATGTCACCAAATGACACCGCTCATCGGGCATGGTTTCGTCTAGGGCTTTTCGGCCCGTTATCAACTCCATTAACACCACACCGAATGCGAAAACATCGACCTTTGTTGTCACTCTTCCGGTTGCTATTTTGATCATGAAAATTTGACAAAAATTAGCATCGAATATCGCAAATCTTGAAGTGAAATGTTTAAAAAGATTATATTTTTGTTGGGACAATAAAGATTAGCACAAGGGTGCCAGACACCTAGTAGGCCATGGGACAATGTGTGCTTTTAAAAACAACCTCTTTTTTGAAGAAAATATTAATTAAATTACTAATCTTGAAAAGAAAGGTGTAAAAAGATTGTCTTTTTAGTTGCATGGAAAATTAAAGATTACTAATCTTGAAACGATAGTGTAAAAAGATGGTCTTTTTAGTTTCATGGAACGTTAAAGATTCCCAATCTTGAAATGAAAATGTAAAAAGATTGTCTCTTTAGTTGCATGGTGTTAAAGATTACCAATCTTGAAACGATAGTGTAAAAAGATGGTCTTTTTAGTTTCATGGAACGTTAAAGATTCCCAATCTTGAAATGAAAATGTAAAAAGATTGTCTCTTTAGTTGCATGGAACATTAAAGATTACCAATCTTGAAATGAAAATGTAAAAAGATTGTCTCTTTAGTTGCATGGAACATTAAAGATGACTAATCTTGAAACAAAACATGTAAAAGGTAAAGGATGTCATTTTAGTTGCATAAAAAACTAAAGGTTACTACCCTTAAAACAAAATGTGTAGAAAACTTGTCTTCTTAGCTTGCATTGCATAGAACATTAAAAATTACTAATCTCCAAACCAAATGTGTAAAAAAGTTTGCCTTTTTAGTTGCAACTTGCATCAACACTTTTTGCATCTAGGGTTGTAGGGTTGCTAGAAAAACAACCCTTTTTTGCATAAACATAAGATTAATAATCTTGAAACAAATTATATAAAAAAAAGAAGATTTATTACTCACCAGCATACTCGGGTGCAAGATAACCGAAAGTCCCCGCAAGTCGTGTCTCAACCGAATACTTCCCATCCGGTGCATTCTTAACCAAACCAAAATCCGCAACTTTAGCCCTCATATCATCACCAAGAAGAATATTTGAAGGTTTCAAATCTCTATGAATAAAACTTTGTTGTGCCAAACTATGCAAATACTCAACCCCTCTTCCCACATCTAAAGCAATTGAAACCCTTTGTTTCCAACTAAGTGAAGGTGTCTTATGTTCACTCCATTCAAACAAATGTTGACTTAAAGTCCCTTGTGGCATATACTCATACACCAAAAGTCGCTCATTTCCATTGATACAATACCCAAGAAGCGCCACTAAATGTCTATGTCTAACCTTAGTGAGAACCGCAATTTCAGCTTGAAATTCGTTTAACCCTTTCGTTCCCATGACACCCGATTCCATTCTTTTGACTGCAATTTTTGTTCCATCGTGTAATTCCCCTTTGTAAACGACCCCAAATCCACCTCTTCCTAGTATGTTATCTTCGCTGAAATTGTTCGTGACTTGTCTGAGAACTTGAATTGAAATTACGACATTACCCCCTTCGAAAACATGCATTTCACTATGGTCGCCGGAGCTCTGGCTCTGCAACTCGCTAAATCCGCCATTGAATCCGTTTGAACTGGTTCCGATGACGCTTGGTTTCATCAATTCTTGACCGATTTCTGGGTTCTCAACACGACCGAACTTTTGGTGCTTCTTCTTCGCGCAACACTTGAAGAAAACAAAGAACACGATTGCGAGAAAAACAAGAACGCCGACTACAATTCCGGCGACCATACCGCCGGAGACGGGGGACTTTTTTGAGGAATTAGATGGGTTTTTACCGGGATCGGTGGAGCTCGGTGTGGATCCAGGTGGGCCCGGAGGTCCAATTGGAATGTCTTGACCTAATAATGGATTGCCATCATGTGAAAACTTTATTCCGTTTTGTGGGAACGATGGTATAGCTCCGGAGAGATTATTGTTGGATAGATCAAGAAGTTGAAGATTCGGCATGGATGTTAAGATTGAAGGAATAGTGCCAACGAGATTGTTATCGTTTAATGATAAACTTCTTAACGAAGTCAAATTTGCGAACGCCGGTGAAATCGTACCTGAAAGTTTCTGCCTGGATAAGCTCACGGTGGTGACATTCTTCCCGGAAGAATCACAGCTAACGAAGCTCCAGCTGTCGCAGGCGTTGTTTCCTTGCCAAGACTCCGCTAACGACATCGGATATCCAACTGCTCCGGCGACCTCGAGGAGCGCCGTTACTTGTGGATCACATGGTCCCGGATTAGGTGAACAGAAGCTATTGGAAGTGATATCGGCGGTGACATTAGAGCCAAACACAGGCAATGGACCTTGCAACTTGTTGTTTCGTAGAGAAATCTTTGATAATTGGGGAAGAGACATCAGCGACGGAGGAACGATTCCGGTGAACTGATTATCTCGGAGTTGTAAATCGTTCAGATTAGTGCATTTGGAGAGATCCGGGATAGCACCAGTGAATGCGTTAGCTTGTAGCCATACTTGAGAAAGTTGTGTCATTGAAGAAAGCACATCAAGCGTACCAGAAAGTCCACTTTCTTGATTGTTGAGCCAAAGATTCTGGATTTCGGAACCCCCAAAACTCTTCGGTAGGTTTCCGGTGAGATTGTTGTAAGAGAGCCGGAGGTTCTGCAAATTAGGGAAACTATCAAAGATGTCCGGGATGGATCCCATTATCTTCGCGTTACTCGCCTGAAACGTCTGCAGATTGCTGCTATCTGTGAGATGATTCGGAAGAACCCATGAAGACAGATCTAAGTTGTCTGAAATGCTAAAACTCTGTAGATTCGTCAGACCCAGAAAGAAATCCGATGGGATAGAAGTGAAGTTATTGCCATCGAGGAACACTTCTTCGAGGACAGTGAGATTTGCCAAGGTGGGTAAGTCGCCGGAGAGGAAGTTGCTTTGTAGGGCGAGGGTTTTGAGTTGGGAGAGCTGGTTCAGGTCCGAAGGGAGGTTTCCGGTGAGAGATTTGGAGGCGAGATTAATGGCGGTGACACGTTTCGGGTTGGAGTTGTCACAGTTGATACCATTCCATGAACAGAAATCAGTACCTGTCCAGCTTGATGGGGCGGGAGAGATGGAGGTGGCGAGCTTAGACATGACGGCGGCATCATCGGCGATGGAGAAAGAGAGGAGGAGACAGGAGAGGAGACAGAGGAGGAGACGGTGGTTGGCAACTTCATGTGCCATTGTTGTTGACTGGGGAAGCCTTGAAGTTATGGTGGGTGAAGCCGATGCTGTGAAGAGACCATATATGGGGAAAGACAGCTGCGTTTGTTTACTTCTTTGTCCGAGAGAACCAAAACCAACGCGTTGTTTCAGCTTTTTTTTCACCGTTTTGACCGCTCTTGTCTTTCTATCTTATTTTCAAAGATTACCTCAATAATTAGGCATCCTTCATATTTGGTCCCTCCGTTATTTATTTAGAAACAAATCTTGGAATGGTTTTAGGGGGTGTTTATAGGATTCTTTTTTAACTCTCTCATAGTGTTTTTAAGTATTTATTGATTTATAATGGTAAATAAATTTTTAAAAAAAGTATTTGAATTAATTTTTATGGTAAAAAAATTAATAAGTTAAAAAGTATTTGGTTTAAAATCTTTTTGTGAAGTAATTTTGGTTAAAAAAATCCAAGTTATATATGCGTTTTAAAATCTGTTTTGAAGTTAATGCAAAAGTTATTCTAAAAAATGTTTTTGCGTTTGTCAAACATTTTTTTGATTTATTGGTTTTTCAAAAAATCAATGAGTCAATTTTTATTTATGATCTTTCTTATTTACCTTTAAGGCATCCTATTCTCCGTTTTGAGTTTCTTTTGGAATCGTCTTCTTTTCAAAAAGATCTTCTCGCTCTTGCACAACTCCCCCGAACAGCCCAGATCTGATTCACTTTCAGAACCTCTTCGTCGATTCCTAACCTTAAGAGCTTATTCAAAAAGTCATTTTATAGAGTAAGACCGTTACTAAGAAGGAAAAAAGCCCCCCATCTCGTTCGACAACAAGCCCAAGCCCTTCTCCTCAAAGAGCACTAGTTGCCTTTCAAATTCTAAAAAATCCAAAAGGTGTTCTCCAAGCCACTTCTTATATGCTTTGATTTGATTCAAAAGAAGTTCGCTTTCTCTGCTCTTCAAAAAACACAAATATAGGGTCTTTACTTTAATTCATCATTGGACTGGTTTTCAGTTCAAGAGTCCCCTATTGTGTATTTTGATGCCCCTATCTTCAAAGGCAGAAGAAAAACATCATATTTGAATGATTTAGAAATGAATATCAGAAAAAGGATTGACGGATGGAAGGCCAGGTTTCTCTCTTTTGGTGGTAAGCTCACTCTCTTAAAATCAGTCCTTTCCCCTATTCCTATACATACCTTGGCAGTGCGGTCTCCCCCGGATTTCTAAGATGAAAAGTGTTATGGCTAATTTATTATGGGATTCCAATGGTGAGCACAGGCACCACTGGATTGCTTGGGACAGCTTGTTCTTGATGGTTAGGTTACCTTGTTGAGCGCCCGATAATCAATGCCCAAGGCTCCCTTTCTGGAATAAAACAAGGGCTCCCCAACCTTTTCCCCAGCAAGATAGGGAAAGCGGACAGTTGCCGCGCTGGCGGAGCAGGGAGCCTACAGGGAAGATTGGGGCAATGAGGAGTTCGACGATTTAGCCCATCGACTACATCTATCGCTGAACCAACTTCCGAATCATCTACCGAATCGCATAATCAACCGGATCCACCTAAACCTAATAAATTTCCTCTAGACAGAATGAGGCTCTCGTTGAGAGATCCATTAGTGATTGGCCCACCCCTCCTGGCAAAGAAAGAAAGGCAGGTTCAGGCGATTGATCAAAAAAAGATTTCCTTCCCTTTCTTTATGACAGAGCAATTGAATGCAATTGAATGCAGCGGTGCAGGGCCTCTAAGATTATGAATAAGCTATTCATTTTCCGTCCTATTGAATAAATTCGGCATGATGGTAGTAGAGTAGTCGATCTGATCTCGCGCGCGGGCGGATAGAAATGCCTATAGATGAGGTAGGCGAGGCTAGCTTGCCGGTACCCCCAATACTAAACATGCATATAGTCTCAGAAAATGAAAATTATGTATGTCCGAATCGATCTCAATGGATCCCTCGTGACTGCCTGCACAAGCGGTGGAGCATGTGGTTTAATTCGATACAACGCGCAAAACCTTACCAGCTCTTGACATATGAACAAGAAAACCTGTCCTTAACGGGATGGTACTGTCATGAACTGTCTTGCCCGTGCCATCAAGAGCTAGAGCTATATCTCTCGAAGGTGTCTTAGCTCCACCGATAGGAACTGCCCACCTATCCAGGTAACCTCACCCGTGAACCACGAAGTTGTTTTGAAAAAACTCAAACACCCCCTTAGAAAGGTTTGGTTAAATTCGTATTTGAAAAAGAATTTATAGCTTATATATTTATGGTTTTGGGGAAAATGATTAACCATATTTATATTTTAAATTCACGTGGGAGGTCAATCATGAAACACTAATATTTAGGTGTGTAGAGTTAAACATTAGACCCCTTTGTGTGGAATTTTCACTCATCAACCACTAAACTCTAGGGCTTATATTTGTGGTTTTGTTTGCTTATAGTTTTGGTTTTTGGTTCATATAAAATGACTATTTTATTTTTTTATAATTTTTTATCTATATGTTATTATTCAAATAACTAAATAATTTATTATTTTAGTATTGTTTGGGTTCATCCTCTCCCACTCTCCTTTGGAACTCTACCGATCGCCTTCTCCGATGATTAGAGTTGTTATCCGGTCGGCTTAATCGGTTATTAGTTTATGCGGTTCAGTTTAATCAGTTTTTTTTACTTCCAAAATATTAACAAAAAACCGGATAATGTTCGGCTTAATTGGTTTTTGGTTTATTTGGTTCATTTATGATTAAATCTGAATAACATATATTAGTTTTCCTTTTGTTTAGTAAACCTTCATTTTCTTGGATATGTAACATCCCAAAAATACTAGTAAAAGTTTCATTTTCAAAACACCCAAAATGACACAACCAATTGTTCCAAAACTAGCCAAAGTGTAAATATTCTTAACATCAGAGTAAATCAAATAAACAGTGCAGAATAAAAATCTAGGGGATGTTATGCGATCATGTATGGGCCCTTCCCTTTGACACCAAAAGTATCTGAAACATTTAAACCACAAATCGTAAGCACAAAGCTTAGTAAGTTCCCCAAAATACCACATACCATACATAACATCGGGCTCCACCTACATAACGGGCCCCGCCCAGCATACCGGACCCCGCAAACATAACATGATCTGCCCAACATAACGGGCCCCGTCCAACATGCATGTAAGAGTCACAAACACAATCTAGCATCTTACACGGTATAGTGAGAAAACGCACCTCACACATGAATAGGATCAACCAGAACTCGAACTAATCAAGGAACCGGTGCTGCAACCCACCTATCGAAATATTCAAGATTAGTCCTTAGTCTACATTCCACGCTAACCATTTATCCAAAAGTCAACCATGTCAAAAAAATTAACGGTCAAAAACACCCCAGGCGATCCTCATGCCGTGGCCATCCATTGGTCACGTTGTGAGAGCCTCACGACAAAACAAGCACGATCAGGCCAGCTACCACGTCGTGGCAAGCATGTCACCACGTCGTCGGAACTGGATAGAAACACCTTAATGGATTAAGCTTTCATCCATTTACACCAACAACTCCTAAGCTCATATCTGAATCTCCTTAAGGTCTTGATGGATAAAGTTTTCAACTTTATCCATTAATACACACCAATAAGTCAAGATCTCTAATCCTAAGTCCTTAATGGTTGCACCAACTGCATGGACACCACCCTAGGTCATGCAATACCACTTTCCAACCAACACCATGGTCTAGAAGCTAGATAATACACCTAATGCTCTGGAGTTCACCCAAACTCCAAATACAAGAACATTGGGACTAAAAAGCTCATAAAATGACCTAACTTAAGATCTAAAGCTACAATGATCATGTTTAAGACTTTGTACCTCCACAAGGTCAGAAATGAGGTAGAGATGCTAGATCTATACCAAAACCAAGCTTCCAAATCACTATATCGACTCCTTCTTCATCCAAGCTTCACAAAACGGTTTCACTATAACACCCTAATTTCACCTTTCAGTGGGATTCAATATAAACTGTTGTTTATAAAAATCAAAGTAGGGATATATAACTTTTTAGCCCAATTAATCGCCATAAGCATGTAGGAAACGTCAATATGATTTATGTAGCCATATAGAATGCTCAAATCTGACTTCGTATGGAGAAGTTATGATTATTCGAATATTTGCGTTCAGCCCTATACGGCAAAGCACGTCGTAAAATACGAATCGGAGATAGATTACTTATTATCATAAGTTATCTAAACAAAAGTCGTAGTAGTCACAAAATAGAGAGCATGCATATATAAAACGCCTAAATCTGACTTCGTATGAGGAAGTTATGATTTTTCAAAGTTTCAGTGTAGGAGTGTGCGACACAGAAACATAAATTAAGATCAATCGATTGTTAGGAAAAACAATCTAAAAGAGAATTGAAGGTCTCGTAGATATGATTCCGTCGATATAAAGATAGTCGAGAATGAAGTCCGTATGAAAGAGTTATAAGTTTTACACAGTCGTTAGTAGTATAATCTTCTCATACTGTTAAATTTAAAATAGAGTAAGAATTGCCTGACATAGTCTAATTAAAAGTTGTAGTACTCATCGATAGTTACGCGTAGATATAAAGAACGTAAAAAACGGAGCTCGTATACGAGAGAATCGGTTTTTAGAATATCTGTGATTTTACTCGGCACGAGCGGCTCAAAAGGCAACACGTGGCACTGGCCGGCACCACCCAACCCACCTACCCAAAGGTGCAACGTGCGTAGTAGGTGGCGCAGTGCTCCCTGCCCGAATTTGCCCTATAAATACCCTTTAACCCCTCTTCATACTACACGCCAAAATCTCTCAATTCTCTCACTAGTTCTGATTTTCTAGAGTATTTTCTGTTGGATCTATATGCTCAATACTCATTATTAAGTGATATTGTTAATAATATATGATCCTATAGGGTGACACCTTTATCAATTTAGCATATTTTGTATATTTATTATTAATATGATTATTAATAAATAATATCAATTCTTGTACTTAATTAGGAGATAA